CCCACAGAAAACTGGAAAGCAATCTAAAATCCAGCTTTGTCTCTCTGCCTTTTGCTTTCTTTTATTTATTTATTTGGTGCTGTCTTCTCCTTGGGGAGGTGGGTAATTCTGCTTTCGTTTTTTCTGTGCCCCTCATGCAAATTAATCGTGTCATCTGCCTGAAGCAGGAATGAACCCCTGCCAGCTGGGCCCCACTCGTCTATGTGATGTGGGGTCCCTCTCGCATCCTCCACCTCCTTCCCAGCAGCCACGATGCCCAGTTCTCCAGACCCTGCGACTAGGCTCCTAACCCTGCATTCCCGAGGGTCTCTAGAGGCCAGAGGCGACCTTCCTTGTGCTAGAGGCGGCTGGCTGTTGCTCACACGGCCCAGGGGTCTGTGGTTCCTCTTTCTTAGCCCCCCAGCCGGATGCACCCACTTAATGTCTACGCTGTTGCTCAACTCCTCAGCAGAGATGAGGAAATGAAAATCAGCAGGGTTGGACACCTGAGATGGGAGAGAAGACACAGCCACGTCTGCAAACAGGCAGGCCCACGGCACATGCAAGAAGCAGAGGATTCAGCGTTCAAGGCTCAGCTCTGCAACCTACTGTGTGATCCTGGGAAGGTTCCTTAACCTCTCTGAGCATTCTTCCTCTCTGAAAAGGGCAAAATCATAAGCCTATCTCCCAGGGCAGGGGATGGTACTAATCAGAGTTAATGTGTAAAGAGTGCTTTTTATGGGCCACCTTCTCTAGGCAGTGGCGTAGGTCTGGAAGCACCTTCTCTGGGCTCAGCTGAGTTCAAAGCCCTGGGCTCATTTTGCAGCAAGGACTTCTGGTACAGAGGCTGGAGGGACGGACTCCCACCCCTGGGGAGTTCTCTGAGGGTGCTCCTAGCTGCACTTCGATGGCTTCATTAGAAGGGGACCATGGAGAGTGAAAAGATTCCACTGCAAAGTGGGCCTTGGTCGGACCCCTACACTGGTCATGGGCTCCTACATTACCACAGCCTCTCCTGCCCCCCTCTCAAGCCCTACCCAGCTACATGAACCTCTCTCAGGCTTCTGGAAAATGCCCAGCTGACCTTTCACGGGGTCCTCTGCCCTTGCAGGGGCACACACCACCACTGGAAGGTCCTCCCTATGCAGCACACTGTCTCTCTCCTGCCACTCCCCTTCCTGAGTTCTGAGCACTTCTGTGCAATGGGCAGGTTCCTGTTTCTCTGCCTTTCCTGCCATACTGAGACAAAGCCTTCGAGAGCAGGGTCACAGCCTCAGCACCATCCTCTGAGACCTGGTGCAGCAGTGGACACAGGGCTATTCAGGGCACACAGAGGTTCATGATGTTTGTTGAATGAATGAATCTGTCATACCACCACCACCACCATCACCACCTAAATGTCGACCTGTCCTCTCAGGAAGGCCAGTGGGCCACACATTACTGAGGTCTGATGGCCTTTCTGAAATGAGTCCCAGGAGCAGCCAGCACTGGGCAGTGGAGACCTCTCTGGAGAGGGGTGATCTTGGCTTTCTACCTTCTATCCCTGCGCCCACCCTGCAGAAAGCTCCTCTGCCCTCCGGGACAGCAGCAGGTGTGTCGTGAGAAGCTGTGGCCCCAGTGAGGCAAGAAATGAGTGGATCACTCTCCCCAACCCCCTAGACGAAGGTGCTATGGCGCCACATCAATGCTGCTTCTCCCACTGGGTGGAGGAAGGGGTTGTCAATTTGCAGGGCCAACTGGGAGGTCAGCAGTGTGGATGGCCTCCCGTATCCTGCCTCCCTTCCGGCACCCCTCAGATGCTTGACCCTTTCAACAGGGATGCAAAACATGGAAAAGGCCCTGCATCTAAGTGGAAGTGTGGTTTTAGCACAAGTGAGCAGAAATTTCCGACCATTCCAAAGAACCCTCCCGTGCAGTTGGCCCAGGTCGGCCAAGACCAGTGGGCATGTGGTGGCAGGGCTGTAGGGGACACGCTGACCACTGGAGAAGCTGCTGGACGAGGTGCCATACAGGCAGGGTGGGAACCTGAGTGGGTGGAGCGCTGCTGATTTACAGAGGGAGCCAGGAATCTGCAGGCGTGGGAATGAGGCTGCAGATGCTGTAGCTTGAAACTGAGAGGCACCAGCACCGGTTGCCTTCAAGATTCTCCCTCCCCGACTTGCACCGCAACTATGTATTTGCATCTCAACTGTCACAGGGCACAAATGGGCTGCAATTGGGTTCAGCCCTCCCTGTCCCTTTCTTTCCTGGCTTCTGTGAGTTTTCTATAGTACATGCAAAGGAGAAGAAATGACTCAGCAGGAGCTGACAATGTGACACAGTCCTTGGGAGACAGAAAGGGCCTCTTGCAAGCACTTCTGTTGTCAGGCATGGCCTGGCAGAGCCTGAGATCCAGGAAGAGACCATGCAGAATCTTAGATGCTGGCCGGAGACTGCAGGCATCATCTAATTTTTGTGAATTGGATTAGCATCCTAATGATGCAGGGCTACCTCAAAGTATAGACGGAGAGGTTAGACTTCTTCCTCTGTCCTCCTTCCCTTTGTTCTGCATCCGCACCCTCTACTGCCCCACAGTGGACTTTAAGGTCGTCCTTCCTCCACAAATGTGCGGGGCCCCATTGCCACTTCCGTTATTCAATAGCACAGTCACCAAGTGTACTCATCGCCGGGGTCAGGGATGACCCTATCCTTCCTCGGAGCCTGTGACAAAGGGATGTGACCTCTTGGCAGACTCTCTTTCCTCCACATTTGTTCAGTGACCACATTTTTCTGCTGCACCGAGCAAGTCCAGAGTCACCTCCAACCCACACATAAATCCCAATGGACATATTCTCCCCTCAGAAAGGGACAGAGAAGACAGTTTCTGAAAGTGTCTCTTTTCTTACAGCTGCTTCCTTCCCTGCTTCTCCCAGACTCTGGGCAGTGACCAAGGGCCAGCAACCTGTGCCTTCTGTTCTGCTGGCCATGCAGCTGAGTCTCTGCCTGGCCCTCAGCCATGGAGGTGACTCCCTCACATCTGGGACCTGGCTTTAGGGGCGGCTCCTGACCAGCTCTGAATCCCTCCGAGTTCTGGGAATCACCAAAGAGGCCCAAAGGGGTGGAGCTGGGGTGAGGAAGCTGAGCTCCTGTTCCTCCTACTGAGGAGGAAGCCAGGGTTGGGGGGCAGTTGGGTAGAGCCCCACTCAGGGATGAAGGATGGTCCAGATGGCCTTAGATGGGCAGCCTGGGCCTCTAGGTGGCCTGTCCCCCTCCTGAGACCTCTGCATGTCACTCTGGAGAAATGGGACGTGGTGGAGAGGAGGCCAGTCCTCCATGGTCAGATCATGGCCACCTTCCTGGGGAAAACAGCATTGGGTCCTGAGGACAGGGATATACTAATGGCCAGCCAATGGTCACTAGAGGCAGGCTGGGCCTCAGGACCCCACATTCCTGCAGATACTTCAGACTGGCTGCCAGAAAAGTGACCAGAGGAAAACCCAAGGGGTCAGGGCATTTGGTTGCACTGTGGGTAATGTTCATGGGATCCAGTTGGGTTGTGAAGCCATCACAATAGTTTGTTGGGGTTTCTGTGTGGCAGGCACTATGCCAAGCCCAGCGTCCATCCCATCTTCCCCTGCACCCATCCCCCTCCTCCTCTGGGACAGAGATGCAGATCCAGCTGCTTCCCCCTCACCCCAGTCTCCCGGCAGTGAGTGGGGACACACAGCCAGTTCTGGTCAATGGGCCATGGGGTATGCGTCACCTCTGTGGGATGAAGCACAGAAAAGCAGTGCTCAGTCCACTGGCTCTTTTCATGGCACACATGGGTGACTGTCTGGAGCAGGTCTCCCTGACCTGTGCTGGGCAAGTAGTTCCAGTGGGAAATAAGCTTCTATCTCGGGGTCAACCTGTGACTGCAGTAACAGAATGGATACATTCACTTTCCTGTTTCTTTAACAGGCCAGCAGAGTGAGGCTCAGGAAGGGTCATCAATTCGCCTGAGGTCACACAGCTGGTAGATGGCAGCAATGGACTGATACATACATCCACAGCCTGTGCTACCTGTTTTTGAACTTCCACGCCTGAGTGAGAGTTCCCTGGCCTGGGTCCCAGCCCAGCCACCCACCTCACCACGACACAGACCCCTCATGGTTCGCCACCGCCTTGCAGGCTTCTGCTTCTGGTTCTCTGTGGGCCACCCCTGCCTGGTTGCCCGGTCTTCTTGTGCACCCCAAGGCCTAGGCCCCCCTGAGCTAGAGCCTCTCAGGATCCTCCCAGCCCCATTTTCCATCCTTCCCCTAGCTGGATCTTGACCCCCCACTCTGGGATCCATGTTTCTCTTTGTGAATTCTTGGGCATTAATATCCCCCAAACCCAGGACTTTCTTCTGGGGTTCTCATTCTTAGCGTAATCTGTAAAAGGTGAGGAAGGTGCTCTCCGGCGGGTATAAAATGATCCATCTGGGTGTGAGAAAGTGTCAGAACTTGTTTTTATACAGTTAATCTTTACCTTTTAAAAGTTCTGTTTTTGTATGTGTTGAACTATACACACTCTGTTTATATGAACACACTGTTGGCTCCTCGGGACAGGGACCGTGGGTTATACTTGGCCCCAGAGGCCAAACCTAGCTCCTAGTAAACAGCAAGTGCTCAGCACATACTCTAGCTATCTCAGACAGACAGGGATGACTTAGCAGAGATGGAGGCACATGCCTACACACGTGCACATTGTGGCGCTGGCTTGCCTAGTAGGCTGAATCCTGGAGCAGGGGTCCCAGGGAGAGAGCCCAGCAGGAGCTGGGGAGAGACAGGGAAGTGCATGCTCAAATGTTCTTACGGAGTGTCGATGTCACCTGTAACCGTTTTGAGATTACTGATTTTTGCAGCCTTGCTCAGCTTCAGTATGCAGCAGGGGAGGGTGGGGAGACATGTTTGTTTCTGCTTTATAACTAAAGACCAGGAAGCCCAAAGGTACCTGGCGTCAGTGGATCTGGACAGGGCAGGACAGTGGATCTGGATGGCTCACGAGTTCTGGGGACTCACCTCGTCCTTGTCCACCACCTGGATGAAGAGGGGGAGGGCAAAGCCGACCTGCGCCAGCTCAGTGATGGCCACACTATACTCGGAGCTGTTGAACTCTGGGGCGTTGTCATTGATGTCAATGACCAGGATATTGAAGGTCGTGGTGACGGTGGCATCAGACGGGGTGCGGTCATCATTCAGCTCCGTGCCCTGCAGACAGAGGACAATCACCCCAGGGATGAAGGCAGCCACAGTCTCAGTGCTAGACACTGTGTGTTAATGCGAGTTAGCCTATGCTCCAGCCCCTGGAGGAAGAGCCTGTCTTCAGTGTCTGCATGCTATTAATGAAGAAACTGAGGCTCAGACAGGTTAAGTAACTTATATGAGGACATAAAGGCTGAGTAGGTTTCAAACTCAGATTCTAGAACTGACACGACACGAGATGGGTGAGGAGGATGAGACAACTTGGGGGTTTACGGAAGGGCAATGGGAGGGTATTCAAGGCAGCAGATGATGAAACTGAGCCAGGAATTGCTGGGCTAGCGGCCGATCAAGACTTCACTGAGCATCTTCTGTGGGTGGAGCACTGCTGGTCGACATGTGGGTCCAGGCTGGACTCAGGGATAGATGGAGGACAGGGTCCCACAGTGAGTTGGTAACAGTGCTGGGACCCTGTGCTCATCTATTCCTGAGTCCAGCCGGGATCTTCATGTTGATCAGCAGTGATCAAACCACAGCAGATACTCTGTAACATCTTGGTTGGCTACTAGCCAGTCCAGTGCTCTAGCACCCTTGGTGCTGACCACCTGGCCTTGGTGGGAGGGTAGCAGAGCAGAAGGGGAGGCCAAGAAGGGGCTGGGGCTGTGCAGCTGGCAGTGGACATGCCATGCTGGTGCATCCTCTGCAGCTGATCCATACCTATCACTGCCACAAGCCCTTCTCAAGGTCAAGAAGAGCAATGAAGGGCCGGCAGGGCTGGCTGAAGGGCATCTTTCCCAGATCCCTCGGCCACTGCCCTCTATGAATGGTTGTCTGAGGCTGGTGAGTCTCCTGTATCTCAGGCAGGATCCATGCCCCGACTGGCTTCCCAGGAAATGGCTCAACAAGCCATTGGTTTTAATTAAAACCTGCCAGGAGTGGCAGGCAGCTGCAGGGGGTGGGCACCCCACACCTGCTGGGGTGAGGCATTAGCAGCTTCCGCCCCCTCCCTGTTGTGCTACTGTTTCCTAATCCAGGGAAGCATGCGATTTAGAAATGGGGCAAAACCCCAGATGTGGGCAAACTCAAAAATTCATGGTGTCTGCACCTGCGAATCTGGAATCATAGACAAAGGTCAGGCCCACAGGATGAACATCTTGTCCCTAAGCTGGGAACAAAGGGGTCCAGTCTGGGTCCAGGTGTTGGTGGGAGATGTCTGGTAGCCTGATAACTGTTGGTCCTCTACTGAGCGGCCTGGGCATGAGCCCCAATCAGTACAGGGAGAGGGCAGGACTGTGGAGCCTCTATCTGTGGTGGAACCCCCGAGTCCTCAAAGCATCACAGGACATGGGCAGCCCCTTATCCTGGGGGCAGGGTCACCAGCTGGCCTTACCTTCACAGTCAGGATGAAGCCATGGCTGTACAGGGGATTCTCCCGGTCCAGCAGACCATTCAAGGTCAGTGCTCCGCTGATGTAGTCCAGAGCAAAGATGCTGTTGGTGTTTCCTACGAGAGAGAGAAGTGTTTGGGTACGAGGGCCCCACAGCAGGTAGGCTGGGGCTTCTCTCCAGGCAGTAAGAACTAGTCAGTCAATCACAGGGTGCTGGTTCAGGGGAAATGGAAGGAGCACTGGGTGCAAGAGTCCACTGCGAGGCAGAACTGGCACTGGATTATAGGGTGAGAACACCGTGCCCTTCCCAGTCTTCTTCCAGTCCATCCGGCTAACGAAGAAAGAATTAGTTGGGTATCTTTAACGCCTCTCTAACACTGGCTTGTTCTCCTTTTTAACAAAGAGGGTAGGCTTCAGGCTCAGAGCCTCCCAAAGTGAGCAGTGTCCAGCTAGAACATAGTAAAGTTTTCTTCCTCTGTGCCTATTTTAATTGTTTTTTCCAATCCCACCTGTTCCATACCATCTAGTTCCCATCCAGCTGATCCCATCCCATCTAATTCCATCTCACTCTATCCCATCCTGTCCCATCCCATCCCATTCATCCGACCCCATGCAATCCTACCCATCCTATCCATCATCCCATCTCATCCATTGAAGTAATCTCATTCCATTCCATCCATCCCGTCTGACCCCAATTTCCTATTGATGGCAAAGGTACAATGGCTTTTAAGTGATGAATGCATTAAAACACAACTGATTTTTTTAACACAATTGAATTTTAAAAATAAATATTCGAAATACTGAAATTGAAAAACACATCTCAAATAGTGGTAAAACTGTACACAAATGATGTCTCTCTGGCTCCTCCCTGTCCCCAGCCCACTGTGTTTTCTGCGTCCCCTCACGGGCACTTGGTGCCCTCTCACTGGCTTCCTCAGTCTCCCCAGGGCACCACCTGCATTCTTGCCTCCTGCTCTTCTGTGTCACCTTCCTCCTTTGTCCTCACCTCCTGTGCCCCTCGCAGGTGCCAGACTCTCCTCTCCCACTCCGTGAGGGCCACCCTGGTTCGCTAGCTTCTGCACAGCACCAGCTGCTGCCCTGGGAATGACTGCTCCCCACTTGCTTCCTGGGGTCAACCTCATCTTCCCACCCGGCTGAAAAGCCCCTGATGATAGGGACTTTTCACAACTATCCTTCAAGGCACCTGGCTGATGCTAGCACATGTTGCTGAAGGCAGGCTGTTCCCTGGCCACCTGGGCCAGCCCTGTCTGGCGTGCCTGTCCATTGGTACATACACCCTTTCCACCAGGTGGGGCCTCACCTGGGAGCAGCCCAAAGCCACTTTCCTGACCTCTTCACAGACGAGTTTGCTGGCTCACACACAGTCTCCTTATTTCCGTCCCACTCAGAGTCAGCAGGCCCAGGGAAGGCCACTGTCGTCAGGCCCAGATGTGGCATTGTACTCGCAGGTGTTGTGTGCCAGGAACTTTGACACTGAGGCACCTGCAGCCTAAGAAAGAGCCTGGCATCCAGAAAGACCAGCAGGGAGAAGCCATTCACAGCTGGAGGGCTATGGAAAGGAAGCTCCTGGAACAGGAGCACTGATGCCTCCCCTGACTGACCAGCTCCTAATATTACCCTCTATGCCTTGGCTTCCATGTCCACAAAGCATGGGATAACCAAGTCCTCTGCGTCTCATGCTTGTGAGGGTGAAAGGAGGTGGGACAGTGCATACACTGGCTGGGGACACTTCTGGCACCAATAAGTACTTGGCAAGGACTGCTGTTGTCAGAGCTGGGCCCTGGGGGTCAGGCAGACCAAGGTTAGGGATGGAGAGAGCCTGGCTCTGTGGGAGGGAATTAACACTTGGGGCCTTTAGCATACAAGTGGCACCCAGGAGCACTATGAAAGCTACTGCAACTCCCTGGTCCCCCTTGGAAGGGACCTGCTCATCCCTTCCAAAAATGACTTTCTCTTCTAATCTAGACTTCAGGCTTCAGAGGCTACTTCTGGCCAGCCTGTGCTGTGTCACCTACCTGTGCCATCAGCCAGTTTCCTGGGTGGGAAACTACAGTCCTCCAGCCCACTGCAGGGGACAGCTGGGGCAGGACACAGGGAGGAGTCACAGAGGAGCCCGCTGGGGGGTCACATCACTCACACTATGGGCTTTGGGGACTCTGACCTGGGGCCAGGTCCCAGGAGAGATGCCACTCCTGGCTTCCCCACCTAAGGTCCCAAGGTCACCTTCTGCTGGGTTGGGCATGGCTATTTGTGTGATGGGGAGGGCAGGATGCAAGGACACCTGTAAATGCATGAAGAGAAGGGGTTTATTTAGGAATCTTGCTATGGGGAGCCTAGGAGAGGTGTCCTTTCATCTGTTCATTCACTCATCCCATCAGTCGCTTCTGCTGAGTGCTTGGCGGGAGCAGTGTTAACCAGTCCTCACAGCCAGGCTGCCAGTGCCCAGGTGGGATGAAGCCGGGACAGTGCAGGGACCCCTAGGGGGCTGGACTCCAAGCTCCTGCGCTGAGCCTCCTGCCTCCCAACCTCCACACAGACCTGCCCTCTTCCCCGGGCCCCACATCCAGCATCCCATCACTCCAGATTTTCATATAAATTTATTCTTTCCAATAAAGGAGCCTATGAAATGTTTAACTAAGTGTGATTCAATTTTTACCTTTGTGAGATTCTTCCCTATATATCATTCACAAACCTGACGCCCCTTGTTAAACAACGTGCTTTCATTTTTGGTTGGGAAAGTTGGGTTGTCAACCCTGGCACACTCAGTTGTGTCTCCCTGCTGGGCACCTACACCCTGCTCATAGGTCCATGGCCCAGCCCTGACCCAGAATCAGGCTCAGCACTTAACACACCCCACTATCACTTGGCCATCTTCTCCAACATACTTGTGGCCAGGTACCCCCAATCGGTACTTTCAAATAATGAACACGTGTGTGTGCACACACACTAGCTTTCACACTTCCATTGGTGTCCACCTTCCAGCCTCCAGACAAGCACAAATGACAAACTCCCAGGACCAACAACCAGAACAGGCTACACTCGGGGAGCTGACAAAGGCCAGCAGAGTAAGGCACTGACTGAGATGCTGCTTGGTCACCATGGCAACATCAGCACTCACTGGGATGCTGCTGGCTCCAGCAAGGGCAGGAGATGAGCCCTATGCCCCCAGATGGGAAGGTCAAGGGCATGTGTCACTCCAGGATCCCTTGATTGTTCCTTCCACCCACTTGTTCCTTCAGTTCATGTCAAGCACCCACTATACACAAGGTACTGGAGAGGAGCAGAGGAATGTAGGCCACGCTGTGCCTCGTACCATGGCAAACACTGACATCCATGACATCATTACACTATTGCATGTAGAAGTATTTGCCAACTAAGGGCCCAAAAGAAAAGCCAAAGAGCAGAGAAGTGGTTAAAATTATGTCCTCGGGTGATCATAGTTTTGTATTAGCTGTGTGACCTTGGTCAAGTTATTTCCCACAGCGTAGAAAGTGGAGGTAATTCTAGTAGTACCTGCACAGAGTGTAGCTTCACACTAAGAAATGAGTAGACTGTGCCCAGCATCCTGGAGGCGCTCAACAGATGCTGCCGTCTGTACTGTGTGGAGATGATGCTACTGTGGTGCCCCTTGTCCTGGGGGAGCTTGTGCCTTAGCCATTCACCCAGCAGGGATGCTGAGCCCAGCCCACAAGTGCCTACCCTCTTGGCAGGAGAGCCCCACATCCAGGGTTCAGGTTTACAGTGTGGTTGCCCAGAGGCTGAGCAGGAATAAACCTGCTCAGGGGTCACACCCAGGCTCTGCCCTCTGCTCCCTCCATCACTCACCCCTGCCTTGCTCAGCCTCCTTATCCCCCTCCCCAACCTTCCTGGGGGCTGTAGGCCTGGCAGCCACATACAAACTTCTCTGCTGTCCTGCAAATTGATAGCTCACATGAGCCCTCTGGTCTGCAGATGTCCTGGGTCCCAGTCCCATGGGGGGCTGGGGGAGGCTTGGCAGGGCGCCTTTCACCTGTTCCATCCTCACTGCTGGGCAGAGGGGCAGCTGTCTCTCCTGGGTTGACAGCTGCTGTCCTGAGTGTATGTGGGTGGGGGGGGGAGGCTGGGAAGGGCTCCTGGAGAGGAGGAGGGTGTGCCACATCCTTAGGGGTCTTTGGATTCTAGTAACTGGTGATTCACAGTGTCACAACAGAGAAAAGCATATCATTACTGGCTTTGTGTTCTTCTGAGGCAGCACCCCTACCCCCAGGAGCACTAAGCTCTCTCTAATTTGCAAGAGAGGGGTCTAGAGGATGAGACTCATGTGTACAAGTAGGAAAGGCCACCAAGGTTGCGGAGTGGGCCATTGCTTCATTTCCCTATTTCTTAAAATAGTGGCTGCTACTCATGAAACACCATGTACCAGGCACTGAGCTTAATTATACACAATTATTGTGTATTCTTCACAATCACCTGTATTCCATCTTTCCCACGAGGAAGCAGGCTCAGAGGTGTTGAATAGCCCGCCCAAGGTCTCATGATCTGCGGGTGGCCAGGCTGCACTGAAATTTGTGCCTGTCTGTTCTTCTCACAAGCATTCACCCTACACACATCTGTACCCAGAGGCTGATGAGAGGTGATCAAGCTTCCCAGAGTTGCTTTAGGGATCCTTGTGGGCAAAAGACCTGTGTGGACATTTCTCAGGAGGAGACTCGCAAATGGCCAACAGGAAATGAGAAATGTTCAACATGACTAACCGCCAGTACCGTACATCTGCACCACGAGACATTGCTTCACTCCAGTTGGAGTTGTTGCTACCAGAACGACTGAGGATAGATACCAAGTGCAGGTGAGGATGTGGACACGGGAGATCGCTGAGACGGTGCTGCTGGAAAGGTATAGTCATGACGGCGAACGGTATCAGGGCGTCTCAAAAACAAAAACGAGAGCTGCTGGCCGATGCAGCAGTCCCTGTGCTGCTTACATATCCAAAGAAAAGGAAGTCACTAAGACAGCTGCACTCCCACGCTGACTGTGGCATGGTTCACGGCAGCCCGGAAACAGAAGCAGCCCGAGTGTCCATCAGTGCGTGGGATAAAGGAAATGTAGCACATACTCC